GAAGTCAGAGCAGGCAGAACTAGAAAATGGGAAATTTTATTATCTGAGAATTATTTTGTGCATTAAATTGAATGAACATGGTCTGGATAGCCCACAGACRTACCATAAAAATTTCTAGGACCCATAATTGGTCTCCTTTAACCTAATCTATCAACTCTTCTCAGGTGTGGTTGGTGAGAACGCGCCCCCTATCCCTGACTCGAACATGGGGAATCGCATGTTGCAGACCATGGGCTGGAGCCCAGGGATGGGCCTGGGCCCAGAGGGACGGGGTATCACCGAGCCCATCCGAGCGACTCAGAGACCTAAAGGGGCAGGTTTAGGTTTCAACTGAACATCCTGTTTTTTGTTTTTGTTTTTTTAAACAGAGATGAACTTTTCCTCAGGGCCATTTGTTTTTAAAAAGGTCCAGCCATGTGAGCTCCAAGRACAAACGAAGCTTGGAGAACAACCAAGAGCGACTGTTGAGACTGAAAGACTTTCCCATATTGGGGAAACAAGAAGCCTGGGATATCCTCCAAGACTTCTCGTCACGTGACCTATCGACAGAAACTGGGCTGGAAAAACAACTTCTTTTGCTCAAACTCCATGTTGGAGAAGATGCTCTTATCACGTTACCTCAGATGCTTGAGGTTTGAAAGCTGGCAGGTTGAGTGTAAACCGAGAGCAGGGCTTGTTAGCGGTCAGCGGTGTGGGGTTGTTAATTAGAAATGGTTTTGTCCAACTTTGCACAAGTTTTAGAATAAAAGGTTTGAGTAGGCCATACCTCAAAGCACCCTTTTAATCTTTTGTTGTTGTTTTTTTATTGTAATGAAGTTAGGCTCCACTTTATTGCTGTTAGGATGTACTCTTCATRTAACTGAGGAGGTTATGTCATCGAAACGTTTTTATTTCTAGKATAAAAGTCCAAACCACAGATTTTGCTTCATGTATAATACTGTTAATGTATTTGCTGCTGGAACTGCTGCACCTTTACTGCTGCGGCTTGAGAAGAAAATATTAATTTGTACACATAGTCTTGATTTAATTTTATTTGTTTTACCCAGTATTATTTGCTTTGGAACTATGACAGTTGTAGCCAAACACAGTGAGACCAACTGTTGGGATCTAGATGTATCCCAGTTTTGTACACATCTGGAAACTGGAGAAGGAAGACCTGTTTTTTTTTTTTTCAGGTTTTTGCTTTAATCAGACAGAGATGAAATGGCCTAAAACACAGAACCCAAAGTGATGCATCCAGTGACTTTTATTAAAATATATTCAGCACATTTGCTGTCTAAAGTTTTTAGTGAGTGTTTCATTATGGCATGTTGATCAATCATTTTTGAATTGTTTGTACTTTTAACGGTGATTTTTCCCATCTGAACAACCTGCCTTTTCAACACAYAAAGGTTAAGGGCTAAATAAAAATGTAGATTTTAACGTGACAAAACTCTGGTTTTAGTCTTTCGTATTCTATCATTATGCTTCATCAAGTGGGGTAAATTTAAAWTGTATTTGATCTGTTACTCAGAGCTCAGTTTTTGAGTACAAAACTGTTTGTTTGAACAAGTCTGATTTGAAGATTCAGAGTAACCGATTATTACATCACATTTATCAGTCTTACTGAACAATCTTGTTTAGAATTTTGGTTCTTGGCAAAAGATTTCAAGCCCAGTTTGGAAAGTTAGTTCACATTTCAGTGCTGTTCAAAATTATAAACCATATACAGCAGGTAAAATAAGTATTGAACACGTCAACATTTTTCTCAGTAAATATATTACTAGAGGTGCTAATGACATGAAATTTTCACCAGA